GGAATTAGGAGGTTGAGATTTTAAAGTAGGAAATCACGGATTTTTTCATCGTTTAATAGATATGTGACAATAAAGATATTTGGCATGTTGTTCTTGACGATAAAAATAAAAAGAATGAAGGGGAAAATAGAATGCCCAACGTCATTATGAAATGCTCTGACTCTGATTTTCTACAAATCATTTTTGGAGAAATGAGCCATCAGGTGACCGTGTTGCCATCTCTACCGTATTAATGGCCAATTCCTATGCAGACCTGAGGTTGGGATGAATAAAAGCACGATACCTATTTTGTGCCTGATGAAAACTTTTTTTGAAGTTCAAACTTCATTTAGGTACTTGGACATTCAACGCGCTGGTTTACGGGTTAAACGTTTAACGCTTCCGAAGAGGGGGAACGTACACAACGAGCCTGTGCGCAGGAGAAAGAGAAGTGGATAACTAGCGGCAACAACAAAGATACAGTAAGTGTAGGAGAACAATACTACGCTAGCGTAGGTGTAAAGTAAAAATAGAGAAACTAAACTGCTGGACAAATGAAGCGGAACAAGCGAGCTGTTAATTTAACTTTGGATTCCAATATTACGCGAACTGAAGAAGTTATTAATGAGTGATTTGCGTAATTTAGAAGTTGGTTTTCGCAAACCGCTCATTGATATTATTTCCAGTTCGAGTAATATTGGAATTTGAAGTTAACCTAAAAATTCGCTTGTTCCGTTTCATTTGTCCAGCAGTTTATAATTGGAAGGGAAGGAAACGCACACCACATGTTATGAGCCCATGTTTTTCGGGTAGAATATGTAAGTGAGTGAAATTCGGGTAGCGTACAATAGGAATAGATGACCTTAAGCCCTTTGCATCGTCTATTCTCTTTCTATGGACAGTTTTTTCAATCTGCCTATTGACTTGTCTACTAACCTGTTCTATCCTACGCACAGACATACAGGGATGCTATTTCTAGTACAATTGTACTAGATCTAGCACAATGACGTTTCACCTAGTACGCTAGTACCTCTCTCATAAATCTAGTACAATTTGGATTACGAGTCGAGTGTCGCTCTTCGCTCTGTACCGTATTCGAGTTCTGAGCTCTACTCTCTACTTGTGGGTTGGGTTCCACGTTCCAGGTCCCACTTCGGTGCGGCTAAAGCCAAACAAGAAATTGGCGTTGCGAACGCACGAGCACTTTTTTATTCTGTGACTTGATGTGTGTCATGTAGACATAATTTGCCTTCCTTTTTTAACAAATATAAATTGATGAAGATATCGCAAAGGATTTGATAGCTATATATTTGTATAATACAAACATATGCGATTCATTTCATATGTGTACAGTACCGAGACAACACCATGAATAGAGAACTTGATTTAAAACGTAAACTAGTAGCTGTTGCAGATGCAGATGCAGTTAGAAAAAAATTTAAGCAAATTAAAACAGAAACAGCAAAGTATAAATTCGAATTGGAGAGATTCTATGAACCGATCACTAAACCATTAACATCTATCTCTAATGACGTAAAACAGCAAAAACGAAACATGCAACCAAATGTACAAACAAAACGACGAAAGCAGAGTGTGAACACATCGATTGATACATCAGAAATATTTGAGGAATCACCATCAATAGCAGAGAACGCATCATACCAATCACTACAATCATCTACACCGATAGATGTATCGAGAAAGCAACAACTATTCGAGACACCGCCATCATCAGTTAAATCCGCTATATTATCTGATCATTCTAGCGGTAAAACGTCTATAAAATCTATGAGATATCTTGAAACACTTTTGAGCGGTCTAAGTACAACACCATCTCAATATGATACCGTTTATGGGGTACATTACGGTAATAGTAGTAAAACAAAAAAGAAGACATACAATGACAATAAGGAAGTACGTTTTATGGATGGAAAAGTATCATTGTACGATGACCTATCGAGAAATATTGCCATATTCGATGGAAGCAGCGAACTTTACGATTTGTTGTTTTTGAAAAGTCCACAGGTGTTGGATAGAGTGGATGACATGAGTCCATCGTCAAAATTACAGAGATATTTTAGATTTAACAAATGCCGTATATAATGGCTATGATAAAAAACGTGGACTGACGGAAACTAGGTGGGAAAAATATTCGAAAATCATTAAACCCTTGATGCGAAAAACGAAACTGGGTGAAGGTATTCGAAAAAAGAACAATAAATCTACCATAAAACAAAAAAAACTTTTATCATGTCAACGTCCCGAATATGTTTATTGGAATAAGCCGAAGGAGTTGGTGAATAGATTACGTTTATTGTGGAGTTCCAAGGCGGCAGGACATACTGGACATGAAAACGAAATTATTTCAATCATAGAAGAGCTTCGTGAAGAGGGTATAATTTACTGAGCAATTCGTCATCACATCAGTGTACCACCAGACGTGCAACACTTGAATAGACATGGAACCTAGCAATGAAAAACTTAAAATTGTCGAAGAACTTCATAGAACAGCGAGGAAAAATTTTACTCGAAGACGAACGATTATTAAGGGCTATCAAGACTTGTGGCAAATAGATCTAGCAGAAATGCAGCAATTTGCTGCTGAAACTGATGGGAATCGATACATTCTGGTATGCATCAATTGTTACTCCAAATATCTATACGTTAGAGCTATCAAGAACAAAACAGGTGTCGAAGTTACTGGGGCAATGAAAAGTATAATAGAAGAAGCTGCATACACACCTGCAAATATACATAGTGATCATGGAAAGGAGTTTTATAATAAGAATTTTGACGCTCTTATGAAGGAACACAATATTAATCATTATTCAACTTATAGTACGATGAAGGCAGCAATTGTAGAGCGGGTTATAAGAACTATCAAAAATAATCTATATAAGCAGTTCTCTGCTAGAGGATCCAATAAATGGTTACATCTTTTACCAGCAATAACAAAAACCTATAATAATACCAAACATCGAACCATCGGCATGAAACCCATCAATGTTGAAAAAAATACTGACTTGAAGATGTACAATCATATCAAGGTGATACCTGAAAAATATAAATTTTGTTTGGGGGATATTGTCCGAATAAGCAAATATAAGAGTATATTTGATAAAGGATATACACCATCTTAGTCAACAGAACTGTTTAAGATAGTGAAAGTTAACATTACCAATCCACCTACATATCAGTTGAAATCTGTGGATGGTCAACCAATTAAAGGCTGTTTCTATGAAGCTGAGCTGCCGAAGACGAGAAGCCCAAATGTTTATTTAGTTGAGAAAGTTCTTCGCGAACGTAAAAAAGATAATAAAAAACAGTTATATGTTAAATGGTTAGGCTTTCCGAATCAGTTCAACTCGTGGATAGATAAATCTGATATTGTTTAAATATTTATTAGTTTTTAAGTATTCATAAAATATAAGGATTATAAATAAACAAGTTTTTCTGCGATTGACAAGAAATGTCAGCATTTTTGACCGGTTGACAGGTCGCAAAACTCAATATTCTGGTATTTCAATTATGTTTCAATAGTTGCTAAGGAATCAATGAATAACAATACGGGAAACACTTTTCCGGCCTAGGCCGGGAAAGTGATTCTCGTATTGCTGAATAATTGGAACTAAAAGACAAACATTTAACAGGTATTTAACCGATCGCAGAAAAAATAGTATGTGTATTTCGGTGGAAAAGCACATTCTCGGCCTTCGGTGTTTGCCGGCCTCGGCTACGCCTCGCCCGTCAACTTACACCGTCGGCCGAAAATGTGTCACTTGTCCACCTAAATACACAATATACTATTTTGGTATTTTTTTTTTATTTCATATTCAATTATTACAAAACTTGATTAATACAAAATTTAAAGTCTAAAAAACTTCTTTATTGGAAAACATGTTGAATGGAACAGTTCAAAAAGGCGCTGAAGCATCTAATAGATGATTGGGATTTGCCAGTCTTCAGAACTTAAATCCCAACGTTGTCCCTCTTGACTATCCCAACGTTGTCCTTCTTGACTAAATGACGTTGGAGGATCCAGTAAAGATGGTGATGATGGTCTTGAATGGGTTTGCCATTCTTCACCTAAATCCTTACACTGTTCTTCGTGCTTAAATGAAGCATTGGAAAAAGATGGAGGAGAATCTTGTGAAAATACTGATGAAGGTCTTCGTGGAACTTGCCATTCTTCATCCAAATCTCAACGCTGTCCTTCCTGGCTAAATATCGAGGATGAATAATTTACGCTTTGCTCTTGACATATTATGTAGGTTGGCATATCTGATAAGTCGATAGGGATATCTGATTTGGGTATTGGTTGACTGGAATGATCAGACGAATTTGGTGTGTCCAATATTTCGATGGGTGCTCCAGGATTCAGCGAACTTGGTGTAAGACTGCTTTGTTGCTTGACACCAGAGGTATTCATTTTTCAGGTTCTAAACTTTCACTGTTTATCGTGCAGACAAACTAATGAGTTTAAACTTAGATATGTGGGTACAAATACTATGAACTTCGAGTGGGAGAGTGTGGATCAAGGGCGAATACACTTGAAAGAATAACAAATGGCCATTTATTCAAGGTTACTTCTGTCAGATTCTTATTTTGCTAGCTGCAATCATATTATTAGCCTTCCTCTCAACTGCCATCAAGTTTTTCATGTGCTGTCTCATTGTCTTTTCCAAAGCAGTTATTTTCTTCACAATATTTTCGTTTTGTGCCTCGTTCAACACATATTGTTGGGTCGTAGCATCATCGCTGGTTTCCGGTGTTGCAACATTCATTAAACGCTTTCCCCCCTTATCAAATTGACCATCGTATGTTAGCGTAAATCCTATTCCCGACGCACCACGTAAAATTTGAACTATGTCATCAAGAACTGTCTTCTGACGACCAAATTTATCTATTGTGTTGTTGGCACCTCCCATTTCGATGAAGAAATGAAATTATTAACTCTTATGTCGATATTTAATAGTTTTTTTTCGTTATTTTCCATCCGCCGTTCTAAATTACGTATTTTTTTAATCATTCTCTAGATCTTTGCTTATATTATTGTTTTCAATGTCATCCATTTTTTTATCTGTGCCCATAAATCTTGCATTAATACGATTTTCTAATTCGTCTAATAGAGATTTCATTTGTTCATGAACAAACCGAATGTTGTCAAGAACAAACTCTTGGGTGCTAACGTCATTATCAAGTATCGGTTTTGCAACATTTGATAGACGCTTTCCTTCAATATCATAGTGACCATCAGAAGTTAACTTGAATCCGTTTCCCTGGGCACCACGTAAGAACTGATGTTTATCGGATACTCTCTGACGACCAAATTTATTTAAAGTGTTGTTAACACGTCCCATTTTTAGATAGAACTAACCTTGTAATTATCAATCATTGGCTTATAATGGAAACTAACCAAAAGTAAAGGGTGAAAACAAAAAGCAAAACAATATGTAGGTATAAAGATTTATTATTACATTAGCACAATTAACTAGCTTAAATTATTCACAACTTTCTACTTCTAGAGTAATTTCAACTTGTTCATTTCTTCAATCATCATCAATTCAGGGCCAACTATGTTCGAGAAGTGGGGGGTGGGCTCGAGTTTGTGTGGTTCCAACAAGATCCGTTGCGGTTTTTTTCTCAAAAGAAATACAATCACTCCAATCGTGACCCTTTTAGTAAAGAACAATCCTGACATTATTTCCAAATGGTCATTTTAAACTGAAAAAAAAAAAATTAAAAAGGAAATCCTATTTTTGGCTCTGCACTGAAAAAAAAAAAGAATCTTTTTAACGAAATGAATATGACTTTCACTCAATAGTTTCTCGCTGTTGAAGAACCAAGAGCGATGTTTCTTGATCCAAAGCATTAACTCTCTTCCTATAGATTCTCTAAAATTACTTAAGGCAAGATTTTATTCTTTTCGTTCAAAGCTATTACTGTCGTAGTTCAAACCCAACATGTAAGAGAGATTTTGATATTGGATGGAAGATATTTGTCTTTTGAGTCAAACTTCATGTTGCTTAGTTGAAAGATTACTTGATTGGATTCCGATAGTGTTGCAGGTCGCAACAAATCTTGTCTTGCTCGGCTATTTCTTGTCTTGTCTTGCTAAGCAAGACAAGAAATTTCCGATGTCTTGTTCTCGCAAATTTCTTGCAAGCCTATTTCTTGTTCTTGCTGCAAGACTCTTGCTATTTCTTGTTCTTGCTTTATAAAAAGTTCCTATATAGATTTTAGATTGGTTATACTCCCCTTTCAAAGAGCAAGTTGAGTTTCAAAATGTAATTAAACTCCCTTGAAAAAACTCGAAAATTCAGGGCCAGTTTCACAAACTGTTTCATAATGTGTGGTTTAGCCAAAACCATTGGTCAAGCTTCAGATTATTCTATGTGGTCAACCCACAACTATGAGTTTGATAACCAGTGAAGGTTACCACCAATAATTGTGAAACTGGGTTTAAGATTACATCAGACAAGTTGACGAAATTAAATGTTTGATTTTTGCAAGTTTGTTCAAGTTCAAGTCCTTATATTGGAACTTCAAGAAATATTTTCTGAGAAATTAAATGTTTTATTTTTGCAAGTTTGTTCAAGTTCAAGTCCTTATATTGGAACTTCAAGAAATATTTTCTGAGTGAAACATCATTTAGTCGCGCTCAGCCAGCACACTTTTTTGTGGGTATTGAATGAAACTGAGTCGTTACGCTCGGCTATGTAACGCGCATTCGGGTACAGTGGGCTCGAGTAGACTTCAGCCAAGCGAGAGAGAGAGAGAGAAAGACCACATTTTATTTCAAGTAATTTTCTACAATAATTTTTTTTTCTTTGATCGTACTTTAATATTATACTACATGTGCTCCATATGTAAATGTGACAGAAATTTTCGTGTTTCATATAGGCATAATCTAAAGAATATCTAGCAAATAGATTTAAATCAAAACTATTCATCATATCTTGGATACAAAGGTAGATCAATCTGGGCATTGAATAAATAGAGCATAAAAAATACCCGTATCAGTGGCGCACCCAGGTTTTTTATTTGGGGGGGTTTTCATAATGATGAAGGCTCGCCGCAGGCAGGCGCTGCCGTAGGCCGGCCACCATAGGAAGAACTTTTTTTCGGGTGTCACGCTCAAAAACGTTTATTTTAAGCCTTCAAAAAATAATTTCTTGTAAGTGATTGTATAGTCAGAGCTGCTGGACAACATGCGATTTAATGATACCATATGCAGATGAATCAAGTCCATGCTAAAACACAGGACTATAAACTCGACTATTGTGAAACCTCTAATAAAGTAACCGCGACAAAAGGATGCCCACGGGGCGGAGTACTTTCACCACTCTTGTGGAATCTAGTCGTGGATGAAATTCTGAGGAGACTAAATGATCAAGGCTACATCAACATAGGATACGCGGATGACATAGTCGTTGTCATTAGGGGAGGATTTACCAAGACGGTATCAAACCTTATGCAGGACGCTTTAAGAATCATTGAGGAATGGTGCACGAGGGAGCAAGTTCGCGTCAACCCCTCCAAAACATAACTCATTCCTTTTACGAGAAAAAGAAATCTGGGGAACTTAATCGCCCCGTCTATTCCAAAAAACCTTGGAGTTTGGCAGGAAAAGTAAATGTCTAGGCATCATCCTAGATATGAATCTGACATGGCACCAATAAAAAGAGCGATTGGGAAAACATGAGGACCAAAACCGTTACTTGTACAATGGATATACACTACGGTTGTAAGACCAATGATAACATATGGTGCACTTGTATGATGGCCTAAAGTAAACCAAAGACAAGCAAACTTGGAGCTAGCCGAAATCCAGAGACTTGCGTGTTTTTGTATTCCGGTGCCAAGAGAAGCACACCAACGGCATGTATGTCAACCTCTGGGAGAATACACTACTTCCAGGCAGAAATATATGCCATCGACTCCTGTCTGAGAGAAAACTTGAGGAGGGGATACACAGGTAAAAACATCCTTATCTGTTGAGACAGACAAGCGTCGAATAAAGCACTCAACAGCCTTGAAATAAAATCTAAACTTGTTTGGGAATGCTTGGAAAATCTTAAATGGGTTCCAGGGCATAAAGGAATTGAAGGAAATGAAAAAGCAGATACTCTGGCAAGAGAAGGATCGGCAACCAGTTATTCGGGTCCTGAATCGGCAATTGGCACCACAAAATCATCGGTAAGAACAAAAATAAACCTTGCTGCTTACTCACCTAAATCAACTCGCTATAAGAGGCAAAACCTTTTAGGGGTGCCATATATGTAAAATGGAAAGTTTGTAGGTACTTATTAACCAAAATCGCAAAAAAATATTTGTAACGGAAAATTCTGTGTTCCAGTACTAAATTTCGGAGGGGGGGTTTTAACCCCCAAAATCTCACCCCCCCCCTTAGGTGCGCCACTGACCCGTATTTCATATTGTTAATCACGCCTATTCACTTAATTGAAGTTTTCACTTCTGTCATAGTCTAGTCTTGAAGCACACACCATTTTTGCAAATTTTATTGAGGCAGCATGTTTTTTGTTTATTGTCTATATTAAAATAAAACTTTTTCAAAATTTGTGTAACTGCTTCTTCAATGAAGCATCCTATTTATGTACCAAACTTTGAAAAAGTTTGTTTTTCATTGATTTTTTTTTATTTATTTACAATAAATAATGTTATGCGAGTATAAGTAATTGCGTACTTTTTAGCTAATATTTATGAAGTAATTATTATTATTTAAAATAAATTATGCAAGAAGTCTTGCTTCTTGCAAATTTCTTGCACAAGAAATCTTGTTCTTGCTCATCAGTTTCTTGTATATTTCTTGCTAATCCACTTCTTGTCTTGTTCTTGCATGCAAGAACAAGACAAGAACAAGAAAAAGCAAGACAAGAACAAGAAATACCTGCAACACTAGATTCCGATCTTCACAGAAGTTACACGTTATCTGTAAAGCAGTGTCAATTGTTTTGAGGACACTTTGGTGCCATTGACAATTCTGCACCTAAATAGTGTAGGAAGTAAATAATTTTCTTATTTCTTCTTATTTCATCTTCTTCCCACTTCGCTATAGGCTACAAAGAATCGATTGTGAAATTTGCAAATAGCATCGCGTGTCCAACACCAAACAATTAACTAGGCACATTTCATTTTTCTGGTTGATGAAAAACAGACAACTTATAATTTCTGGTGAAGTTCGATATACTTATATTGAATAGTTTTTGAATCGTTCACCTGTACTTCTTTCCCATAATTCCTATCGCGTTGTATTTTGCTTCTGGTCGGAATAAATGTATGTAATGTCTTTCAAAAGAATAACTTCCATATCTATAATTTCCATAGCTCTTGAGAGAACATAAATTGAACTTGGTTGAAGAAAGGAACAGTCAAGAGAATTTTTGGATTTTTTCAAGAGAACTATTTTACATGAACTCAGAACATTTTTCTCCAAACAATGGATATTCTTTTATGAGAAACTATTTTCTCTTGTCTTGCCTTATCAAGAGAGTTGACTACTTTGATTCAAGACAAGCATTTTTTCAGTGTGGAAAATTTTCGAATTTTGATATAGTCATGAGCAATTGCCGATATCTTTGGTAAATTTTGAGCAAATTGAAATAAATTATATATCCTTGGAAAAAGCAATAAATTCTCTATAAATCCATATAAAATTGAGTTTAATAGCTCAGAAAGTTTTTGAGTAATTTAGCCTCAAAGTTGATTTTTAGTCCAAATTTTGTCTAAAACTTCAAACCCAATTTGCTCAAAAAGTATAAACGTGGGAATATTATAAACTACAGGGTTTTTGGAGCTTATTAATGGCCATTTGCACCGCTATCACTTAAGGGATATTAGGGGATATTTAATTTAAGTGGAGCTTTTGAATGTGACTTTTGTTTCTACGAGAATCACATTCAAAGCTCCACTTGTGCGTGCAAATCGCCGTAAGAGACACAAACGCTAAAAATTTCAATGCAATTTACTCAACGGTTACCGAGCAATTGAGGTTTAAATATTTTGAAATCAGAATTCAATCGATAGAGTGGTTCAAAATTAATGAAAAATAACTCTGACATCATTTCCATTTGCAATAATAAAGATTCAAAAGAAATACAATCACTCCAATATATCTAAACAAATCAGGGTCACGCGCCAACTCAAGGCTGCGCACACTCAAGGTCGCATAGCAACTCAAGGCCAAGGTCGTGTGACGTCAGAACATTACTAGGTCATTTTTCAAGGCCAAGGCTAAGGTCAGGGACGTGACGTCATAGGAGTGGGGGGTGAGGAGTACCTGGGTTTTGACGACTACTCGTAGCCATTTCCTGACAAAGACTGTCATCCCGTACTTTTA